GATGGACCCTGCCTCTGGTCTGACAATAAAATGGTTATTCTATACTCTACATGCACACAGCATATGCTCAAAAATTTCTGTTCCTTATGACTCTTCACTTTATTTGATAAGTTTTTTATGTGTGTCTTTCATGGTGATGGAGCCCTGGTGGCGCAGTGGTTAAGAGCTCGGCTGCTAACCAAAACGTCAACAGATTCCACTAGCCGCTCCTTGGAAACCTATGCGGCAGTTCTACTCAGTCCTAAAGGGTCGCTATAAGTCGGAATCAACTTGATGGCAACGGGTTTCATGGTGATGATGATAATATGCTTGTTGAATACTCCTGATGTGTAAGACATTGTGTCACAGCCTGCACATGTTGATCCCAGTCCTGGCAGTTGTGAAAGTTTAGAATAGGGAAATAAAACACATTGCTAACCATATCAGGGAAACCTAGCACTTATGATGCTAGATTATTAGATGAGAATTCCAGAAGAGGACTTCTAAAGTTATGTTCCACCCTGCAGTTAGAATTTCTGTTTTAGCAAGTCACCTGCCTGCAGCTAGGGCACCTAACAAGTACTTTATATGATTGAAAATGACAAGGGTGATTCTTTTCAACTATCTTTCCCATTTTTTCCCTTAGTATGTTTCTTTTCCACTGTTGGCAGGTATGAGACTCTGATGCATTGATCTAATCGGAACATTGACAAGATCTTATCTGCTATATTGAATAAGATGTGCAAAAGAAGAAATTTCATTAGTAAACAAACGGGAAAATACTCATTCTCACAAGTAATGAAAAACATAAAAAATTATGACAGTGAAGTAAAAATTTTCATCTGTTAGTGAAGTTTTTTTAATTGAAATGCTATTTAGGACATGAGAAACTGGTACTTTGGACACTGTTGCTATCAGATTTGGCAATTTGTACCATGAAAAATAAAATGTTAGTAACCTTTCAATAAGTGATTCTATTTATTGGAAACCAATCTAAAATAATAAATGAAAAATGTGAATAAAAAACCAGCGAAATGGTAATAGTGGTTTTGTAAAGACGATGGGATTGTGGATAACTTTTGTTTTCTAAATTTTTGGAAATTGTGATTTTGCTACTTTAAAGGTAAAAAACTATAAATTAAAAATAAAAAAAAATTAACAAGGCCTCTGTGAAATACCACATAGCATGCTTTATTAGTAGATTTGCTCAATAAATCTCAAAAATCACTACATCTCCCATTGTCATTGTTCTCAAATTATTCCAACATCTTTGGAGAGATGAGTTCATTGAAAATATTTTTATTTGGGTGTAAATGCATAGCCAGTACCCACTTGAGCACTAGCATATTGTGACCTTTCTCAAAACCTGGTGTCTCACTAGCCTGCCGTTCAAAATCCTTCTGATCTCTTCCCAACTTGGCTTTCCGTCTTTACCTACTTTTATTCTTCTTGTTGTAGTCTATTCATTCACACATGTGTTTATTTATTTATTCAACAAATACTGTGGGGCTACTATGTGTCAGGCACTGTCCTAGGCACTGGGGATAAAGTGGAGAGCAAACCGACTGGAATGGGGCCAACCCTCATGGACTGAATGGTCTAGTGGTAGAGATGGACATGAATCAGATAACCTCATAAGCAAATGTAAAATCACAGCAGAGTTGAGTGCTACATGGCATCAGGATCATGTATGAAGGGGAGATGCAACCTAGTTTAGGGGTCAGAGGGTGTCCCTGAAGAAGTGATAATTTGAACCAGGATTTGTTGATGACTTAAGAGTTACTTAGGAGCCCTGGTGGCACAGTGGTTGAAGCACTCGGCTGCTAACCACCTGGACAAGGCAGGTAGTGTACTGGGACTGTTAATGAAGATGCCCCTCTCTCCCTGGTCTAGAGACAGACACACGTGGCCCAAGCCAGGGAGTCAGATTCCTCCCTGGAAGTTGAATCTTGAGCAGAGTGACCTGAGGACAGAAAACAGCAGCAGCTGCTTCACTCTGACGAAGCTGTCCATCAGTTTCTGACTCCCAGACTCCTAGGCTACTCTAGTCCCTGCCCTGCCCCAGGCATGGCTATCCAGCTTTCGCTTTGGCTTTGTGAGTCAGACACCATCTTGCGATTTATCTTTTAGCTGAGTTGATTTGGTTGCCTGCAACTAAAGACGGAAGCTTAAGTCATACAGAGTGGGAGATTCCCAGAGAGAGGAAACCAAACAAACAAACAAACAAAAAAACCCATTGCCATTGAGTTGATTCCAACTCATAGCAACACTATAGGACAGAGTAGAACTGCCTCATAGGGTTTCCAAGGATTGGCTGGTGAATTCCATAGAGGAACAGGAAGTTCAAAGTCCTCAGAGTGAGAGGAGGTCAGTTTAACAGGGCTCTCACCATTCCTAATACACAGACATTACACTCTTCCTTGTCCTATTTGCTCATCCTCTCCTCCCCCCTCCTTTTTTTTTTTTTTTAAATATCCTTCCCTTGGTTCTCCATACTTTGGTATAGACGGATGATAGATAGATGACAGAGATTTTTTTTAAAGAAAGGAGGGAAGAAGATTGTGTAGGAGGGAGGGAGAGAGAGAGGGCAAAGAGGAAAAGAGAGGACAAAAGGATGGTAAGGAGTAGAAGGGGAGGTGGGAAAGGAAGAGAGAAAAGGGAATATGTCCAGCTCAGGTGCTTCTCCCCTACTGGGCGGTGAACGTGCCCTCCTCTGAAGTCCCACAGCCCTCTCTTGTATATTCACAAATCCTCTTGGGTTACACAACGTGTGCGTCTGCCTTGTACCCCTCTGGGACAGGGGTCTTACTGAATTCATCATTCTGACCTCCACAGTACTTGTGCCCTGTGCCCTAACTTAGATGCTAAAAAGCTACTGGTTCTTTGCCAGGCCAGGAATCACAGACTCAGGGTGGCTAAAGCAGCAGCAGCACTAGAGGTCAAATCAGATGAGAAGGGTGTTCCAGGCAAGAAGTCCAGGTAGAGAAGAAAGGAGGAAAGAGAGCTGTGGGTGTGAAGAATTCAGCAGTGGGAAAGATGGCTGAAGCTACCAAGAAACCAGCAGCTGAGAAGCCAGCAGAAAAGAAACCTACCAAAGAAGCAGCAAAGCCTGTTGCATAAGCTCTTAAATTTGTTTATTCCGTAAGAGTCAAATCATTTTAGACAGCTGACTTTGAACAAAAGGTCCCTGGATGGTGCAAATGGTTTGCTGTCAGCAACTAACCTAAAGGTTGGTAGTTCAAACCCACTCAGCAAGCACCATAGAAGAAAGGCCTGGTGATCTGCTTCCATAAAGATTACAGCCAAGAAAACCCTACTCTAACACAGAGGATAATCAGCTATGAGTTGGAATCAACTCAAAGGCAACAGGCCTAGTTTTTGGGTTTTATTTTGAATAAAGACTTGATCAAAGAGACAGTGAGAAAGAAAAAAAAAAAAAAAATGGTTGACTGACTGATATAACTTGAAAAAAAAGTTCTTCCAGACTCAGAGCAGAAGGGAGAGGCATCAAACTCAGTAATATCTTAATTATACATTGATGAAAACCTACTAACAAGGGACCTTATGAATGATAACTTAGAATCAAAGTTTAATTATTCTTTAAGATTGATCATATTACCCAAGGAGAATATTACGTACAGTTTTAATTGTGCCACTAATTTCAAAGAAGATCCTAAGTTTAGCGGAGATGGTGAGTGATGCATTCCTGAAATGCTCGGTCATGTACACTGCTGACTTGGTAGATTTACATTTCTTCTCAATGTGGGCTCGTCATGGAGTGGAAGTGTTTGTACCATATCTGGACCAGTTCCGTCGAGTGGTTCCCACTCATAGCGATCCTATAGGACAGAGTAGAACAGCCCTATAGGTTCCAAGGCAGTAATCTTTACGGAAGCAGACTGCCACATTTTTCTCCCTTGGAGCCGCTGGTGGGTTCGAACTGCTGACATTTTGGTTAGCAGTTGAGCGCTTAACTACTGTACTACCAGGGCTCTTTGGAAGTGCTTATATTAAGGTTTAAATATGCAGAATACATTGATATAGTAGTCAATCTACTCTCACATGGTTATTTTGGCAAAGTGTTCTCTCTTAATTTGAAATCTTAAAAAATTACTTATCCACTATAGAAAATTAGGGAGATATAAGAAAATGGAAAGATTTTAAAAAATTGTCTATTTCTCTACTATATCTGATTCTAACCTTCTACGTTTAATGCATATTTTTGATTTTTTTCCATTACATTTATATATTTTTGTATCCAGCTTTTTTTGACCAAGTGTCTTAACAGGAAGTAGTACAGTGTGGAGAGATTAAGAGTTAGGGAGAACTGAGTTACAATTCCAGGTGTACTGCTTACTGGCTTGAGTGGTTCATTTAACCTTGGACTCTGGGCCTCAAGTTCTTTTTCTGTAAAATGGAGATAATAATGTGTGCCTTATAGATGAGCTCACTGTAAATGCCTTGTTATTGTAGTTGGCATGTCATTATTTAACTTTTATAAATATTTTTATTGTTTCATAAAATTTGAGCGTATTAATCATAATCTACGTCACTATTCTAGTCTCTTCTTTGTTGACATTAAGATTGCTTTTAATACTTTACCGTTTCAAATAAACCTGCAAATATAGATCTTGGTTGGGGGGGGCAACTGCTAATCAAATTTAGATTTATTCTTTAGGATTGATTCCAGAAGTGGGATTACTGTATCAAGAAGGAAAATTTTTTGACTCCTGATACTCATAATCAAATAGCTTTCCAAAAGGGGCAGAATCAGCTTATGTTCCCACCAACAACATATGAGAATTCCTATTTCATCACATTCCTACCAGGATTTTGTACTATTATTTTTTAAATTTGCATATTAGAAAAGAAAAAAAAAGAGGCTATTTGTTTTAGTTTTCATGTCTTTGAGTATTAGTGAGGTTGAACATATTTTCCAGTCATTTTAAAACTAGTTTGGGTATTTCCTTTTATGATTTCTCTATCCCTGTGAACAAAGCAGGCATAGTCAGGCACTCTGCTTACCAAGGTTTAAAGTGTTCCTTAAAATGCTGTAGAGCTTTTGCCACCACATAGCCAATAAAGTTAGAACTCCCAGCACTTTCTTCCAGAGGAATCTTGGGTGTGAAATTAGGGGAAGGCAAGATGCTTAAATCTATCATTGTTTCATCTTGTTTGGAAAATTTTTCTTCATCAACACTTGGAACTACCTAGAGAAGAAGGGTTAGACAGTAAAAGATTACTAAATTCCAGTTACATTCAAGATTAGTGTAATAGCACATTAGTCAAGAAAGGCTATATTGTGCTGAGCTAACAAATTAGCCCCAACAGCCAGTGGCTTCATACAACAGGAATTTATTTCTCACTCATGTTACATATCTGTTATAAGGTCTCTATACCACGTAGACCTGGTGGTCGGGTCTGACCTTCTGTCAGTTTGTTATACTGTTGTGGCTTGTATGCTCCTACAATAGTGGAGGCTATGCCACTGGTATTTCAAATATTAGCAGGGTCACCCATTGTGGACAGGTTTCAGCAGAGCTTCCAGACTAAAAAAGACTAGGAAGAAAGACCTGGTGAACTACTTCTGAAATTAGCCAGTGAAAATCTTATAAATCATAACAGAACATTGTTCCACTTGCTTTCTTTGGACACATCATCAGGAGGGATCAGTCACTAGAGGAGACTATGATGTTTGGTGAAGTAGAGGGCCAACGAGGGTCAAGCAGACCCTTGGTGAGGTGGATTGGCACAGTGGCCACAACCATGGGCTAGAACATGCTGTTGACAGTGAGGACAACACAGGACCGGGCAACTTTTCACTATGTTGTATGTAGGGTCACCATGAGTTGGAGTCCATTAGACAGCAGTTATCATCCATCCATCTAACCATCCATCTACCCGCCCACCTACCTACCTATCTATCTATCTGTACCACACAGACACTCAGGACCCTGGTTGACAGAGCCCCACCATCTCCTGGCTGTAGCAATGAAACACACAGCTTTCTTTGTGCCCTCAGCAGAGAAAGAAAATGGATAATCACACACAGACTTTTCACCATCTCAGTCTAGAAACAACCCCTGTCATTTCTCCTCACATTTCATCAGCCAGAACTTGCACATGGCACCACCTAAAAGAAAACATGAAGGAGCAGACGGACTGTTTGCTAAGCACTACCATCTGTGCCACAAACATTGAAATGGTGTGCCAAGTGTTGTACTGAATTTTCCTAGGAAATTTACAGTTTGTGATTGTATGTATAATTTTTTCAAGAAGGGGTCATCAGTTATCCTTTTAATGAATTCCCAAGTGCATACACTTTGATTTTAATAATTTAAACGAAAATGTACTGAAATGTAACTTGACATGTAGTCTGAAGAGAACTATTTTGAAAATGTTTTCAAATAAATTCCCTTATCAAAAAAAAAAGACAATAGATAGGTGGTAACTTTGGTGAAGGGTAAGACAGTACACAACACTGGGGAAGCCAGCACAACTTGTACAAGGAAAGGTCATGGAAGCTCCATAGAC